ATGTGTATAAGAGACAGCTTCAGCCCCCTCCCCCCCCCGGCGCGGTGGTACTGAACAATCGATCGTTGTGCAGCAGTGACCCGGAGTTATCCGAACAGTCGTAAAAATAAGTTGAAAGTAGTTTTCGGGGGAATTTGTAGCTGACGGAATTCGACAGAAGCTATTTTCCGAGATAAGGTGGCATTTCTAGGGGCTGTTTGAGGGATGGGAGGTTGAAAATGGTTGCATATTACAGGCAGGCAAATTTACGATGAAATATAGAATAAAGAGACCAATTCAGACCGCTTGGTTGAGGAGGTTCTTTAAGAAAACTGTCATATCGAGTAGAAGACAGCTTTCAACTCTCAAAAATGGTTTTTTGAAGTATCTACAAAACTGGAGCTTCAGAACCAACAATTTTTTCTTCAGTTTATCGGTAAATTCTATGATTCACTGAGGAAATCAAGCCCCATGCACCCATCTCCCCAACTTCTTCAGATATCGCCTCCTTAACTAGATGAGAATCACGATGAATCTAATCGGAATCTGTAATTTCTTGTTTCAGATTATAAAAACCACCCTGCAACCCCTCAACAGTGGCCCCAGTGCCGTGTATTCATCCCCCCAAGATAATCACCCAGCCCAACGATTCACTTCTCAAAGCCAAAGATGGACATAGAGGTTCAGGTGGCCCTGAATTTCGTGATATCCTACTTGTACAACAAACTACCACGTCGCCGAGTCAACATATTCGGTGAGGAATTGGAAAAGGCCCTGAAGGACAAATTCAAGGGTCACTGGTACCCCGAAAAGCCCTTCAAAGGTTCGGCCTTCAGGTGCCTCAAAACAGGTGATCCAATCGATCCAGTGCTTGAACGAGCCGCCAAAGAGTCTGGTGTACCAATCCAAGACATTCTCGAGAATCTTCCAGCTGAATTGGCTGTCTGGGTTGATCCCGGTGAAGTTAGCTACAGAATCGGTGAAAAGAGTGCCGTGAAGATTCTCTACTCAGAGTCCTCGGACCTTCACGACGAGAGTTCAGCTGATCGTGAGGTCACCAAAACCTTCAACCCCGAGGCCCAGTGCTTCAGACCGATTGAGGCCGTTGGCACGTCTCTAAGCGGTCTCAGCTTGAGCCCAAAATCCACCTCACCATTTCCATCCTCACTGGGCAGCAGTGCCAGCAATGGCTCGTCCAATAATCAACAGAATGGCCATGCATCCGGGTCATCGTCAGCGCCATCGCCAACACCAATCACTAGCACCTTCAAGGGATCACCGAGTCCTGTGCCGGCTTTTATACCGAGGACAACAGCACCGCTGACCTTCACCACGGCGACCTTTGCTCAGACCAAATTTGGTAGCACCAAGCTGAAGACCAGCAGCAAACGGGCAAACAGGTAAGTCATCATTGAGCCAATGCACACTGTCTTCATCCTCCTGAAGGCAACCGTCCAAATCCTAAAATGGCAATCTTTCAGAATGTCCCCAACGGAATTCTCCAACTACATAAAACAACGAGCGATGCAACAGCAGATTCATCATCACCATCATCATCACGGGCCCCACCAATCAGCCGGTGGTCTGCCTGTCTCGCAGAGCTCACCGACAAGTCGTTCACTGTCACCAGGTGGTATCGTTGGTCAACCACCTCAGCAGCAGCAACAGCAGCAAGGACAGCCCCAACAGCACACAGATCCCAGCGCCTACTTCTTCCCAGGTCCTTATCATCCACAATTCTCACACCGCAATATCTTCGACTCGTCGAGCCACGCTGGCTATTTGCCTGACCTCTATGGCGCTAAGTTTCCGTCATCCTATCTTGATCCAACTATTGGACATCAGTTCTATGGGGGTGTGTCTGGTAGCTCTCAGGCCAATAATCTTGGCCCTGTTGGCTCTGCTACTTCTAATGGCGGTGGCACGACACAACAGGATAAGAATAATATCGTTGATGGGTTGAATAACTTTGGGATTACATATCCTGCCAGCCAGTATCAACATCTACTGGTTGCTAATTAATATACTGGCAGCCTGGCCCCCAATTGTCCAACTCGTCTCTCATCAGTCGTTTAAGTCATTAAAGGTTCATTGATTATTTTTTCCTATGGTTTTTTTAGTTTTTGGGGAGGTTTGATAGTGGAGGGGTCCAACAGGATGAGTTTTTGGTGAAATTGGGTGGATAATGGCGCTTGAAGGCTCTGGAATCACTTTTCAAACTATATCAGTTTGAATTTCCCGCCGAATTTTCAGTGGCCAATCAGGGCTGCTGCACTCACTCCTCCGGGATTCCCAGTGCTCACGAGATATCCGCGTGGTGGTTCTCATCAATGGAATACGGAAATGGACTTTTCGTCCATTTTGCATTCAATTTTATTCGATTGCATTCGAGATATCGATTGATCTCCCTGGAGTAAAATATCTTGGAATCTATAGGAGATATCGGAATTTTGATGAGAACCTTTTCTGTAGAGCGAGATGAGTTCTACAAAAAAGATTTTTACGAAAATTGCGCCATCTCCGCTAGATTCTGAGATATCCCCCAAAACCGAAAAGCTCATCCTGTTTTACCACTCGAGTGATAATTTTTTTTACCAAAAATTTTTTTATATTTTTTTCCTCGTTGGATATGGAGACACGTGTGGCCAGGTGTCCCAAAATTGTTCCATAATTTTTTTTATTTTTCTAAATTATTCATTTTTTTTAGAAGAACACTTTTGGGCGAGATTATGAAATTTAATTGAACGGAATGACAAAATTGTTTTTCGAGGGAGGGAGAATACACAGATGGATTGACAAATGTGTAATAATTTATTTTTTCACTGGAATAGAAAATGAAAAAAATGAGGAGAGTATAATATATCTGTAGAGCCTATGTAATTATAATTCAGAAAAATGCACTCACTTCAACGGGTTTATTCATTTGTGGAACGGTATGGGATAACTGTTGCGTTTTATTTTCAAGAATTCGTTGGGGAATTTTTCTTCTTTTTAGGATTTTAACGTGAATGGAGTTGCTCTCATACCGTTGCAACAAAGACTCGTCCTTTGGTACGATCTTACATTTTATTTTTATAAACGAGAAAATAATAAATTCATGTAGATGTGTAGGGTACATGTGGGCTTGACGTGAGGTGTCAATTTGTTCATTTTTTCATTTCACTTTTTTACAAAAATCTTGATTTCTTGAACTTTGGAAATTCAAATTTTGGGATTTTTGGCGGGAAATTTTTTTCATCCGGCAGCCCGGGACATTTCCAGTTCGAAACACTGGTGTGAACCCATATTGCCCCGCTGGTTATGGCGGAATGCAAAAAACAAAAAGTCGATGTCAAATCGTTTTTTTGGCTGTCTCAAAATCTCAAACTCAAGAATCCCCAAAATCGAAGGCCCCTTCAATTCCCTAAAAAAGTTTACCAAAAAAGTACAAAATGCTTTAAAACTCACCTCACGTTGCGTTCCACCCGCGATTGCATAATTCCATTGTCACCGAAGATCTCCGGCAATGAAAATGCAAAAGAAAAACATAAAAAAGGTGCCGGAAGCTCAGGCACCAGGTGCTAAAGTATTAAAAAAAAGTGGGCGAGAGAAGCCCGATAGAGAGAAAAATTTTCCACATGAAGAATTAACGACTGGACGACAAAGAGAAATGCAAAATGAAGGAAAAAAATTGCCCACATTTTTTTTCGTTGGCGCGGGGGGTAAAAAAAAACACGCGAATAGAGGCATAAAATTATGGGGACAGAGAGACACCGCATTACCCTAGTTTAATACCTAATTAAAAACTTAATTGTAACTATTAAACGATACGTACGACTGTGGTAGCTATGCTAGTACCTGCTATTGTTAAACAAAAATGAAAATAAAATCGAGAAAATTGAGATGCAGAGGACGCAAAAAATTTTCCCAGGCATTTTCGTTTGTCGAAGATGTTTCACTCGATTATTATTGAATTATCCAGAGGTTTAAATGTTGAATGAAAAATTTTCGTGATTACAATTTTTTCATTGATGCGGGTCGATTTTATTGAATATAACGAGAATCAAACGGATCTCGAGCGAGATTACGGGCTTGGGTGTGGGAAAGCTATGAAATCAAACTTGATGTATGCTCTTGGGGGAAAAAAATGATAAAGTTAATGAGAAATTACGTCAAGATGAGAAATTCAAATTTCACTCGCGGGTTGAATTGACTTCTTCCGACTTCGGGAGCACACAATCACCCCGGAATTGAAGAAAAAACGGTCCGTTTTGCCCCAGTGGTTTAGGAGAGAATGCATTTTTCGCCGATCGCTTATCGATTTGTAGATCATTTTTACAACTTTGGCTGTAACTGACGTACTACTGGGGCAAAATGGGTTTTTGTTTTTCCATTGGATAAATCGGAAAATTTTAATTGCGATTGAAAAAAAAAATTATCCATTTCGGCCCAGTAGAAGAGGAGAAAATCCTGTTTGAAGTTTTCATAGATCTTTGATCGATTTGTAGATCATTTTTACGGTCTTGTTGAATGGGTGCTCTATTTCTGGAAATTTCATCGAAAATTAATGAAATGCTGATCCATTCCAGCCCAGTGATGTAGCCAAAAATTACGAATCAATTTTTCGTAGATCATCGATCGATCCCTAGATTATTTTGACATTTTCAAAACGCATCGTTTTTTTTTAAATTCCGCCTGAAATTTTCCGGTCCATCCACTGGGCTCACTGTCGACCCCAAAATCCCAAAATTCAATTCAACCCAAGGGTCAAACTCAGAGTACTACATTGAAGAGACAAAAAAAAAATTTAAAAACATAGTATTATAATGTATAAAACAAAAAGATAAACGCATAGTTTTCCAACGCATTAACTGAGTGTATTTGTTAAACGAGAAGCAACAAAAATCGAGGGGACACACGAGTAAAAACCTAATAATTAAACTAAAATAAAGATTTACCAAAAAAATCGTTTCTCGCATGTACCCAGCGGGGGGATCGATAATCTGTCTTTTTAAAAATATCAAGTGTTTGTCAAGAACCTAGTGGAAAAACCCAGAAAACCCAAAAAAATATCGGTATTGTCTATTAAATAATTGATGAAGCAAAAAAATTAAATAAATTTAATCGACTCAGAGGGAAAAATTTATCGTGAGTTGAGTGAAAAATTCATTGCAGATAATTTACCTATTGATTAGATACGAGACATTACACGATATATATTCTTATACTTAGCCCGAGTGACGAGAACGAGAATTTTTTTTTTTTTACGAGGGAGACAGGCAGGGTCAATCTAAAACGATTAAACACGAAACGAGAAAAAAAAAATTATCTGTTTTTCGCATGTAAATACGAATTATCGCGATTGCAAGCGCCATCTCGCTGACATTACGAGAACCACATTGAAAACAAAATGGCGGAACTGACGATTGAGTGACAAAATGGCGGAGTTATGGCCGAAACAGTGGCGGAATGAGACGAAATAAAAAAACGAGAAAATCACAAAGAGAAAAATCACCAAAATATACATTACGAGGGGGTCGCGTGACGCCTGAAAATACCTTGAATGATCATGAAATATGTGAATGATTAGATTTGTAATTATTATATATATTTTTCAATACCTACTACATGCTGTATGTGAAACAAACAAGATGATGTTATTATACACATTACGCTATTAATTGAGTAAATAATGTATAGATCATTATATGAGGACACGCATCGGTAGTTGCGCGCACCTTCCAGAGTGCGGGTTATCACGTAGAAGGTGAACGAGTGCATAGGCTCTTAATTATTAATTTTTTTCATTGACATCTGGAGTGAGAGGAAATTTTATCTGTGAACACAACCTGAAATTGCCAACAGGGGCCAGGGGGATGGGGTCGAAAGTGACCTCATCCGAAAGATGGCAAAATTTCATGCAGAATAAAAAAAAAATCGTCCATTTTGTTCCAGCCGTTGAGGAGAAAATCCCAAATCAATTTTCTATCGATCATTTATCGATTTCCTAGATCATTTTCACGTTTTTCACTGTAACTCGGGTTCTATGGGAGCTAAATGAATAATTTTTTTTTCATTTTGTTGAAAATTTTCCCACCTTCTCGATGCACGGTCAACCCCCCACCGCTCCCTCGTAGCCCAAAAAATCCCGAAAAACAATGAAATCGTCTCACTCCAGATGACAACGGTATCTCATGTATCTTATTACCCTACGTTTCATGTGATTGTACCGAGTAAAGAGCGTGAGCTCCGAGCCCCTCCCCTTTTTTTACTACCCCCTTTATTTCTACAAGAGAAAACCCACCCCCCAACCCCCTTTATTATCTTTATATCGAGTGTTTGAAAAAAATGAGTGCATGAAAAAACAAAAAAAATTAAAAGATTACTCCGGAGCTTGCGCCCACTTTTCTTATCTAAATTTCTAACGACATAACAAAAAACCGTTTAGACGAATTTATTGTACGAATTTTGTATAGCCATAAATCATAAAAAAACCCATTAGTTTTTTTCTGCAACTTCATCAATGTTTTATCCAATCAATTTTTATTGTAACCTAGAAAATTTATTGTTTTTCTTTCCTTGTATTTTTGTACGATAAAGAACATTATATTAGTTATTGTTATTTTATTTTTCATTTTGTAAAACACACACACACATATATATAAACATTATTATATATTCACCGCTCAGATTGGGCCAATTTTTAATTGAAAAAAAAATTAATCAATTAAGAAGAAATGAAACTTATTGATTAGGATAAGGAATTTTTTCATAGTTTGTTATTGTTGTTTTGTATGATACTTGATTGAAAAGTTATTAACAACTGGACACAGTGAATTTTATCGAAATACGTCTTTTTTTCTCTTTTTTTTAATGGATTATTTCATTGTGTTCAGGGTGTTATGATTATTAATACTATATTTTTGTTAATAATACAGTGATTTGATAACTGCAGTTGATTTTGTTTACCTTTTTTTTCACGTGTCATTTGTTGGATAATTTTAGGATTACGATGAATGAAAATATTTGCGTTTATCGATGGAACATTATCTTCAGATAATCTAGATAATTTTTAATTGCCCAAATGATTTATTCTCCATCTCGACTTTTCGTATAAATAATAATTGATACCGGAATCTTGGATAATTTGTAAATTATTTTTTGTATTTTTATATGAGAGTTTTTAAATTTTTTCAAGGACACGTAAAAGTTATCTGAATTATCGCAAGTTGTATTTCGTTGAATAGATGACTTTTGGTTGATGAAATTGAGCCAGAGAAAGAGTCCAGATGATATTAGAAAAATCGACCTAACCTCAACTTACGGAAAAGTGAGCACAATTGATCCTCGAGAGGGCGCGTCGAGATGTGTGTGATTTTTATCTAGATCTAACCTATAAATAGTCTTGTAAATGTGTCAAGGTCACGTAATTGAGGGATCGCCCTGAGATTTAAATAGGTAAATTTTTCATTAGATGTTTATTATTGATTGAGGGGCATCAGCACCTCGAGAAAAACAATTAGTTGTTGGAATTTTTGGTAGTCTAAGAGTATCCTAGTTGAATGTTGTCATTTTTTCCCTCATTACTCATGTTTTTTTGAGACTTTTCGGCGTGCACGTGAAATTTTTTCGGGTGAGTGAAAAAGGGAGTTCAAAAAAGGGCGGTATTTCAGAGGGCATTGGATGCAGCAAAATAAAAATGCCGCCAGTTGAAAGCTGGGAAAATTTCCCATGAGATTTTTAAAAAAAGAGTCCATTTTGCCCCAGGCGTTTGGGAGAAAATCCTAAATCAATTTTCATAGATCTTTTTACTGGCTACAAAATGGCGTCATTTCCGACCCTCTACCCTCACTCCTTCCGCCGAAAAATCCTAAAAATGTAGGAAAATGCACGCCGATCTGTCTCCACAGATGGTGAAATCCACTCGAATGGAAGAAATCGTATTAAAAAACGTAGCTAACGTTTTATTATAAATATTATAAATACTATACATAAATATTTGCCACAATATAAATATATAAAGATTACCTATACTTATATAGTGACAATTGAGAGCAAAAAGAGTACGATGATATCATGAAATATTATTATTCTTTGTTACTTCTTTATAATTAAAAAACGAAAAAAAATATTGACAAAATAAACAAAAAAAAATTGCTATTTAAAACATAACTAAGACCGATAAATAATTGATACTTGATGAGAGTGTGAGTGTCACGGGGGATCGTATTATACACGTAATATTGGGTTATGGGTACGTGATGAGGATTTATTGATTACTCCGAAGCCTTGAAGCGTCGAATTGCATTTCATCGATCACTTCACCTCAATTTTCTTCACCTTTTTCTGTTTTTTTTTTTCACTCGATGACATGGAACATGGCGTCTGCAGCTGGAGGATCATCATCTCTATTATTTTGAAACCCAACAATTCTTGAAAAAAATTATTTTACCAGGTAAAAGCATTCTTATGTTAATAATCTCGGGATTTCCCGGGATGTCGATGAGAATTATGCCACCGAAAAGGCCAAGAAAAATACCCACGAATTAAAAAAAAGGCGATCCATTTTGGTCCGGTAGATCCGGAGAAAATCCTACATAAACTTTCATAGATCATTTATCGATCTCTAGATCATTTCTGTAAGACCGGGCCAAAATGGCTAGAAAATGGTTGCAATGGACAGGCAGAGGAACGTTCTGTCGAATTGAAAAAAGACGACTCATTTTGCTCGGGGTAGATCCCCCAAAAATCCTGAATAATACTCTAGATCATTATAGATCACCAACTGCTGGATCACTTTTACATTTTCTGCTGTAACTCCGGTTCTATGGGGGCAAAATGCATCGTCTTTTTTTTAATTTGTGGGCAAATTTTCCGATCCATCAGGTGGGGTCATCAGTGACCCCTTATCCCCACCCCCCGAAATTCTCACGGCCATATTTTTTTCGAAGATACATGAATGGGTGCATTAGCCCGTTAGATTAACCGTCAGCGATGTATTAAAATGCAAAGCTCGTGCTGTGGAATCATACGAGTCGACGTAATACGAACGCATGATTATTTTTCATTTCATTCTTCAGTTCTCCATTACAAAGAGAAAGAGAGAGGGGGAAATACGAAAAATTATTGGAATGCGTGACGTTAGGACGATTGACGTCTATTCCGTTGGGGAGGGGGTCATGTGAATCATCAGTGATATCCGATAGTTCATAACGATGTAATTACGATTTTTAATTATCGATGAAATTTTTTATAAAACAAAAAATACGATTTAATGCCATTTACAATTCATCCATTTTTTATTGAGATCAAGATTATAGATCGGAAAATTTACCCAAATGAAAGAAAACAGCCTATTTTGCCCCATCGTGTCTCGAAAAGGACGGGACAAAATGGGCTGTCTTTTCTTTAAACTTGAGATGGAATTTACCGCAATATAATATTTTTCATTTCATCGGCATTTCGATTGACTTGGATTAATTAGTTGATTAATTAAAATTAAGCCAAACTACTAAAATTAAGATGAAAAAAAAATACAAAAATCTATATTTTAAATTGAACAATTCTTGTATCGAGATGAAATATCGTAACGTGTATATTCAATTTTATATTCTAAAAAAAAGGAACTTTGTATTCACCTCTATTTATGTATATCTGAATGAATAGTTTTTCTTCAGAATAGTTGATAAATGATAAATGATAAACAATAGATGAGCGAATGCGGAGGTTCGAGGGAATTGATATCTCGTTGTGTCTAGTATAAGAAACCGGCACCTGAATACGTAATGCAGGGGTTCTGTGTTTTTCAGATCAATCCACAATTATCTTATTGTTTATCTTGAGAGCCACAAACACTGGGTGAATGAAACCGGTGGCATTTGATAGATCGGAAAATTCACCTACGAATTAAAAAAAAAACGATCCATTTTGGCACAGCAGATTCGGGGAAGATCCTTAATCAATTTTCATAGATCTTTTATCAATCGCTAGATCATTTTCAGACGACCAGAGGGAAATGGATTGGAAATGACTTCATTGGATAAGTAGACAAATTTTGTATCAAATGTAAGGAAGAGGGATCATTTCGCCTCAGTAAATCCCCCAAAAATCCCGAACAATTCCGTAGATCATTATAGATCATCGATGGCTAGAGCGCATTTACGTTTTCCACTGTAACTCAGGTTCTATATGAGCAAAATGGATCGTTTTTTTTTCAATTTGATGATAGATTTTCCGATGTATCTAATGGGGTTACAAAAAACATCTTTAATATAAATAATAATTTATGGATAAATTATTTCCTCTAAAAACTGGGAATTTTCGATAATAATTATGATAATCAGCCGTGTAACTCTGTCATCCATTATTTAGCAACTTTACCCCTCAAAAATTTGGAAAGTTGCGACTAACTGCAAACATTATTTCTTTAATTAACAATAAACAAAAATTATTGGCGGTGGGAATAATAGCTAGAATAATCGCATGGGTCGTCCAGAGTTGCAGCGAATGTGCGTTATCACAAGAAAATCCTCAACAAAAAAAATTTGAAAAATTTGAGGTATCGAGAGATGCATAAATAAACAAAAGGGATAATACCAAAAAAATACTCACTCGTAGGCGTATAAGGGTACACACTAGTTGACGTAGTGAAACATTAGCGAGAGTAATTAACGATTAATTTTAAAAAACGCATTACTAATTTAATGAGAAAAAAATCGATATATATTACTACCTAAAAATACGAATGAATAAATTTGAAAATAATATTAATTAACAAGGATAGTAGATGTAGAGGTAATTTTCTACAGAAATTTTTGCGCATTGTATACGCATGTTTATGAGTTAGGGAGACAATATTACGTTGGCTGTTTTTTCCTCTCAACAAAATGCGTCCCTCCATTTTGTGTCACGATTTAGCGTCACGAAGTAGCCGATATTTTTACGTTTTGCTCGATATCTCAAAAATTTGACGAGATACAATTCTGAAAACAGTTCCATCCGAAAGCTGGGGAAATTTCCGATTTAAAATACTATTTGACACCCCCTCTATCTCATCTTCTTGCCTCAACACCAGAGGAAAACAAGTTTGACCTTGAAATTAGATTTTCTCAAGGTCAAATTTTACATTGCCACATCTTGCTGAGATTTTGAGCAAAAAGGGTTTATATTGCCGGTTTTAAATTGGAAATTTTCTCAGCTTTTAGATGAGATGTGAACCCACACTTTATCTCCTCGCGTTTTCGAAATATCGAATAAAACGTAAAGAGTGTTTGATCCTCACCGATTTCGTGACGAAAAATCGTTGCATCAGTTCCATTCGTCCTGGAGTCGTCTCCGTGTTACTTCTTTCGTGTTGAACATATCTGTATGGTTAAAGAGCTCTGCTTATGCTATTCAAAGTAATTCTCGTAACGTATGAAACTATTGATGTTGACAGAACTATTGTTTACACGAGTGATTTCAACAAATGACGAAAATCATCATTTCGTGATTGAAAGGGAAATTAATACTTGTATCAATGCATCTGCTAGAGGGGGAGAAATTTATCCACATGAAATTAAAAAAATCCAAAACTCGATTTTTATCGAAGATCGATAGTAATCGATTTATCGGAGGCTGTTCTCTGCGATATCTCGAGAACACGGAGAGCTACATTTTTTTCAATTTGTCGATGAATTTGCCCCCTCCAAAAGATTCTCCTGCAATCACGATAGATCAAAATAATCGATTATGGATTAAAATCATCGAGACGATACCAAAAATGAACATTACCCGCTAAAAACACAGGAATACACCAATGAAACAAGATAAATAAAAACGAAACAGTCATCCTCGCCAATAAAAATATGACAAAAAATTGTTAAACTTCCATCAGATCAACATCACAAAGACAGACAATTTTTAATAAAAAAAAATACACCGTCGAAAAAATCATTAAAAAAATATTTAAACAACTACTACTGTTGAATTCGATGTCGATATGTCGTATTTGTCCTTTTTCAACTTACAAAATCTCTCTTTGTATTAAAAACAAAAAAATGGATAAAAATACCAATGAGTGTGTACTAACGTTCGATAGCCAGTGTGTTTCTATAGTTCATAATAATGAAAAAAAATAGATGAGTTAAAAGAAACATCACAAATGGGGATATTAAAAAGATCCTGAGCGCTGCTACACTTTGTACATGATTGTTAACAATTAAAAAATCAACACCGACATGACGGGAATAATTATGATTATCATAATGTAAGTTAATTAGTGGCGAGGACGATCACTCGTTCGTGAATGAATGAAAATAATCGAGAGAAATCGAATTTAATATTGAAAATTGAGAGAGGAATTATGTTCAGGCTCTTGATTGGTGGTACAAACGTGAATCAATGAGTGGGCGTGGCTTGAGCCGAAAGTCGAGCACATGAGGCTCCAGAATTTAATTGTGAATGTCGATTTATAAATAATATTTATAAATCGATTTTTCAATTCTCAATTGAATGAAAAAAATGGGGGGGGGGTCAATAATTATCCCATTCGATAGATCGGAAAACGTACACTCGAATTAAAAAAAAAATTATCCATTTTGGCGCAGTGGTTCAGGAGAAAATCCCAATTCAAGTTTTATAGATCATCTATCGATCTTCTAGATCATTTTCACGTTTTTGGCTGTAACTTGAGTTCTGTTGGGGCTAAATGGGAATTTTTTTTTTCATTCGATGGAACAGACGATTTACTATCTGATTCGATGAAATGGAACCCATTTTGCCCCTGTAGAATAGGTAAAAATCCCAATTCAATTTTCAGTGGATCCGCTAGACCACGTTTTTAGCTGTAACTTGAGTTCCATGAGGGCAAAATGGGTGATTTTTTTTCGTATCTATCCATTTGGTTGATCATCAACTCCCACCCTTCTGCAAAATCAATTTTGTTTCATTCAGATGAGAAAAAAAAATTGACGTTAAGGATCTGAAATGAAATGCAGCGTCTGCGATGGGATTGAACAAAATAAAAGTTATCAAAAAATAAATAAAGAGAGGATAACTATTGGCCTAATTCTATGTGTCATCAGTGTATTACGTACCTTAAAAAATGAAAAACTAATTCATTGAAAAAATAAACAAAAAAATTAATAATTAAATAAAATAATTTAAACTCTAATAAAAAATACAATTTACCTACCTTGAATCGCCAAAGTATTAAACGCAGATTATTCTTGCAGTGAAGAGAGAGAAAAAAACATTAGAGTTAATTTCCTCAACTTTTCTATTCGTAATTAGTCTTAATTCATTTCTTACCGAATGGAAAAATATTCCTTTCGTATACGTAGAATTCACAAATGATTTTATTGAATGTGATAGAAATATCTAGGTTAACTATTACTTTAATGACTTCTTAATTATTTAATCAATTAGTTGAATTGAATTGTAAACCACAAGTACCGTTCACCGGTCCTCTTTATATCTCCAAAGAATAACCAATTAGTGAGAAACTGAAGGGTTTCCCTCCCATAAAGAGAAACAAGAAATATAAATAATTTTAAAAAATTGAAAATAAATAAACCAAAAAAACAGACGTACATATATCTATAAATATATGTGTATAATAGTCTATAATTTTTCATATTGTTGTACGAAAATTTTTAAGTTTATATTAAAACAAATGTTTTTGTGTATATCATATAAACAAAGAAATTCGCAACGAAAAAAAAAGATAATTTATCTAGTTTTCACGTTAATTGTCTAATTGAATTACCCGCCTCAATCACTCAATAATAACAACTCCAACAATCAGTGATAATATTTTTTTTATTAATTTATAAAGTGGAATAAGGAAAAAAATACTTTCAATTTTTTTTATTATAAATAAAATTAAAACACTCGATTTTTCGGTTGACGATGTAGAGCCAGGGATCTATCGTCGGAAGTGATCCCAATCGATAGACCGAAAAATTTTAATACGAATTGAAAAAAAAAATATCCATTTTGGCCCAGGGGTTTGGGAGAAAATCCCAATTCCATTTTTATAGATCATTTATCGATTTTCTAGATCATTTACACGTTTCCGGCTGTAACTCGACTTCTACTGGGATAAAATGGATGATTTTTTTTTCAATCGATAGATGGAAACATTTCCGACTAGATTCGAAGTAAGAAAATCCATTTTGTCTCAGTAGAATGCAAAAAAATCCTAATTCAATTTTTCGTAGATCATTTATCACCGGGTAAATCGCGTTTTCGGCTGCAACTCGAGTTTTACAATGCCAAAATGTGTAATTTTTTTTTCGCTCTGTGAAAAATTTCCCAGTCTACCCAATCCCAGAAGAATATAGCTATGCAGATCCTCAGAATGATACAGGTAATGAATTTCCAATTTTAATAAACATGTCTTGCATTTATTATGCAGTTATTTCCATCGTTACACAAAAAATTATCTTACACTAGTCCTATCGACTAAAGCGACACCTCTCTCACTCGAAAAAAAAGAAGAAAAAATAATCGGAAGCCATGATGATCAAATTCTAACCTCCCCTAATCTCCAAAAAATAAAAATAATCGAATCCTAACCTAGAAGAACAAAAGGCCTAAAAAATACAAATTCTACGGCATATCTCGAACGATCCTCAGAGTATCGCGTCAAAAATGTTCCTAATGAATAATACAAAATGATGATTTACTTATAGGTTATGTACTGTACAATGTTCCTCAACCTAACCTCAAAATCTCAGGATGCACTCCCCTCGTCACTTTGCCTCCGTCCTAACCTAATCTCGGCAGGCCCAACCTAACTGACGCCCTCATGGATCTTGACATAATGAATCTTCATAGCCTTGATGTTCGGATACTTGATCTTGCAAATGGGGCAGACCCTGCCGTCAGCGCCCTTGACCTCATAGCTCCCCAAATCGGTTTTCCTGTAGAACATCTCCGTCTTCTTCCCCTCGACCTCTTCGGCGTGCTCATTATTGAGATGGCCATCGATGGCGGAGCGATTGAACATGTGCCTAGAGCACAGATTGCAGCTGTAGAGGATGTTCATGTGGCTCTTCTCGTGGGCCTGCTTGGCCAACGAAGTATCAAAGACTTCCTCGCAGTCGTCCATGGTGCAGTAATGCTTGTCGCCATTGCCGTGAACCTTGGTGTAGTGCTGTTTCATGTTGGCAGGGTTAGAGAAGACCTTGTAGCACTCGGTGCAGGAGACCCCCTCGCCCTCGACCTCGCCCTCGTCGACCTCCAGAGGCTTGCCAATGCTGCTCTTGTGTACGTTCTGGCGATGCTTGTAGAGCGAGCTCATGCTGGGCAGCAGCTTCTTGCAGATGCCGCAGGTGACAGGTTTCTTGGTCGTGGCGGTTGGTGTCCCAAAGCTGCTGCCCGAAGGCTCCCCCAGGTGATACGCCTTCCTGATCATGTCAAAGTCCAATTTCGGTCGTTTTGGCTTGCCGTCTTCGTCGGCCTTGGAGGGGGACGGTGTCGTCGACTTCCTGGTTATCGAGTTCAACGACTTCCTCACGTAGTGCGCAGCGGCCTTATGCTTCTTCATGGAAGTCTCGTTGTTGAAGACCTTCTTGCAGACGGGGCAGGGGAAGGACGTGGGCGTCGTCTTCTTGAGCGACTGGAACTTGATGCCCGCCACCGGCGTCGTCTTGTGCAGCTTCTTGTGCTTCCACAGGGCTTTTGTCGAGCTGTAGAACTTTCCGCAGATGTCGCAGGAGATGTCGACGGGTCGCGTCACCTCGGCCAAGATCGGATTCTCCTTGTGCCACCTCATGTGCTCCTCCAGTGCCTTCTCATCCGGAAAGACGTTTGTGCACAGCTCACACTGAAGATCTCCGACAAAGGACTTCTCGGACTTGTGCTTCTGGCAGTGGACCTCCCACAGGTGCTTCCGCAATTCCCCGACGTCTGAGAAGGAGTCGTCGCAGACAGCGCAGGCCAAATTACTCGGTGACAAAGACTGCTTGAAACTCGGCGTTGGAAAGGACTTCTTGGCTTTAGCCGGACGCGGTGTCAGGCTCAACTCCAGCGGCCCCTCCTGCATCTCAACTTGCACCTGATCCAGCGGATGGGGCACCGACCGAATCGACAGTCTAGAGTCACGTCTGAAGTGGTGCCCTCTGTGAATCTTCAGCGACGTCTCGTTGCTGAAGCGCTTGCCGCATATGTCGCAAGCCAAGTGATCGTCCTCAGCCATTCCGTGTGACTGCTGAAGATGGCTGTTCAACATCTCCTGCGAATCGAAGACCTTCTTGCACTGCATACACTTGAAAGGGGGCGCCCCTCCCTCGGCGGGCACCTCCTTCGGGTGCGCCCTCTCGGCGTGCTGATTCCACAGATCCTCGCTCGTAAACGTCTTCGGGCACTTGGGACAACTGAACCTACCTGCGATTATGTGCACCGTTCTTATGTGCCTCCGCAAGTTGGGATAGTTGGCGAATATCTTGCCGCAGGTGGTGCACTCTGTGCTCCTCGTGTGGGAATTGTTCTCCCGGGGGATGGAGTAGGCGGATGCATTGAGCTCCGATCCCGACTGGCTCATGCTGTCGTCCACGTCGGGATCTATAACTTCAACGTGATTCTGGGCTTGGCTCTTGGTTTTTGAATGCGTCGGCCTGTGCTGTGCCAGCTCCTCCTTAGTGAGGAACTCCTGGGGGCACATGGCACAGCCGTACTTCATGGTGACCTTGGTCAAGCTCGAGTTGTAGTTCTTCCAGACGCTCTTCGCCCCGTCCCTCACAGCACTGTTTCTGTGCTGCTGGTGGTGGATCAAGTACTCATTAGACTGCTTGAACTTTGAGTTGCACTCGTAGCAGACGAGATCTTTGCGGTTGTGCTCGAGGGTAATGTGGGACTGGAATTTCTTGAAAACAAGGAATGTCATGCCGCAGTGGGCGCAGCGGTAGGAGGTCCGCTCGTCCGGCGGTAGACGCTTGCACAGGTCTTCGTGCTTGAGCATGTTGGGCTTGTAGCGATAGATCATGCCGCAGTAGTCGCACGTGTGGTTGTGCGCTGGGTCGCCGTGGCGGTAGGGCCCCGGGGCCGTTGCCGAGCGCTCTTTTGTCTTTGGGGATTTGAGCGCCGTCGGGGCGGACGACGTCAGGGGCTCGTACTGCTTGTCAGAGTGCTTCGACAGGTGGGACAGCAGTTCTTTTCTGTTCGGCATTGGTCTAAGGCACATGTTGCACGTGAAATACTTCTCCGTGCCGTGTTTGGGGACTACGAGGGCGATTTTCATGGCGCACTCAAAGGACGCGCCGCAATGGAGCTTGTATATCGAACGGTCTGGGAACTCGGTCAGGCATGCAATACACGTGTACGGACGCAAGTCTGGCATGTGCTGGCGGATGTGGTTGAGGGTGCTGCGGCGATCGCTAAACACTTGCTGACACGAGTAGCACGAGAAGGTCTTTAATTGGCTTATTATGTTCTCTTGGACTTGGGTGAGGGGCGCGTTCTTCTCCATTGAGAGGAGCTCGTCCTCGACGTCCTCCACCATCTCTATGTCCTCGTCCAGGGAGGAGGACTTGTCCGTCGAGGGGAGGCGGAATGATAGCGGACCGTTTCGCGGCTTTGGGGCGCTTGCGCGGTGGTAGCGATCCATGTGGTTCTTGTACGAGAGCTTTGAGTGCAAGTGGATCATGCAGTGGGGGCACTTACGTTTGAATACTTTGATACCGCGGAAGTGGGTGTGGGGACCGCGCTTTAGTTTTTTGCGGGAGGAGTGGTAGTCCCCTGAGGTCGGGTCCAGGAGGTCCTTCGCGGCTGCCGCCATTGGGTTCAGCAGGAGCTGTGTGCCCGCGACTGAGTCCGCTTCTGAAAGACGTGACCATCAGTCGTTTAGGGGCGGTGAGGGGATTTTTTTTCGGGAGGAATTTGGGGCCCAGAGGTTTTGGGGGTTCCGACACTTTTCGCTGAGGGTAGGGGGGAGGGTCTTGTGAGGGGTATGGTGGGGAAAATTGGGAAATTCAAAAATAATAAATGGCAGAATTTGGATATCTCGCTGGGGTTTTTCGAGTTTATGAAGAATTAGTCGAAAATTTGAATTGATGGCGAGATTTTTCAAAGGATTAGTGAATTAATACATTGATAAATTGATAAATTAGTAAGTTGATGAACTAATAAGTTAATGAATTAAGGAATTGATCAATTAATCATTATTAATGATTAATGAATGAATGGAGTGACAAATTAATTAATTAATTAATCCTTGAAAGAATGTTTTCTGCAGAAAATAATGAATACTACATAAATTGTGTTGATGGAAATTTTGATATCTCGATGGGGGTTTGGGATGTTTTATGAAGTGATTATTAAGAAAGAGGTACAGGTGCTGTTGGTAAAGTTACCTGATGAATGGCTTGATGATCGACGACGTTTGGAGCGAGGGGGGGATCTGTCCTCGGGGATGTCGTCCATATTGTCCATGGTATCGATGAGATCCTCTGGGGAGGACATCTCGTCTGGGTCGATTGGCTCCGATTTTATGTGAGTTATCTGGAGAAATAGGAACGTTTTAGAATGGACGAAAAGGAGAATGGAGAGGAGAATTTTTGATAATGAGAGCCAGGTGGAATGAGGAATTATTCAGTGAAAAGTGAATAATTGTTTACAAAAAAACTTGAAAATATCAATTGTCAAGGGACAATTTCACCTTTCGAGTTTTTTGAAAATTGATGAGGTAGAACTTTTGCCATTCTAAGTCAGCAATTTCAAATGTGGAGAAAGTAATTCGAGTGAAATCACATGAGGTTTTCAGCCCATCCGGATTAATTGGCAATTGTGACATTGATTTAGTTTTCCTCGTTTTTTGATTTCAAAATAATTGGATAATATGGTGAAATTTGGGTGAATTATTCGTGGAAAAATTCGGACAATTATTCAATATTATTTACAGACAATTGGCTGGGGAAATTTGTTTCTCTGCAATTTGTAGGATTTGTACATTTAAATCCAATTTTTGGGATATTCTATGAGATACTTCATTACTTTAATAATCGGTTCCCTTTTCTAATGGCGAGAATCTCAGTAAATTTGAAATCTAACTGGAAATTCATTTTTTTTCAGTACGAAATGAAAAAAAGTCCAGAAATCGTAGAGAGATTCTTTTTTTCCATCAACAAGTCTTCAAGTCTTCAACTGTTTAATCCCCATCAGAACCACCAAAAAAATCTTCAATCATCTTCAAAAACTCTCTAATCCCGAAATAAAAAAAAAAATCTCTCCACCCTCCCATCAGAATCATCCACCAGGAAGTGTTCCTCAATCTCAAAAAATTCAAAATATCCATCTCAAAATAATAAAAAAATGAATTGAAAAAATCCCTTCAATCGTATTCTCCTCGCACCCAAATTACCAAAATCATGAAAACATTTTTAATAAAAATTTAACATATCCACCTCAAAATACGAAGAAAAAATTAAAGTATCCAATCTAATTCCCAAATAATTTTTTAAAAACTCGAAAAAATCCCTAATCAAAATTAAATTCTCTAAAAATTGCCCTCTCGCAATTCAACATCCATTAAATAATATTGAAAATAAAAAAACTAATTCTAACACCTCCCAACCCCTAAATAATCAAGAAAACTCTTCTAAAAAATCGCTAATTAAGATTAAATTCTCGAAAACGCGTCCTCTTCCCCTTCAAAATCCCTAAAAAAAATATTCAAAATAAAAAAACCGACTCCAACACCTCCCGACCCCTGAATAATCAGAAAAACTCTTTTAAAAAACCACTGATCATAATCAAATTCTCGAAAACGCGTCCTCTTCCCCTTCAAAATCCCTAAAAAAAATATTCAAAATAAAAAAACCGACTCCAACACCTCCCGACCCCTGAATAATCAGAAAAACTCTTTTAAAAAACCACTGATCATAATCAAATTCTCGAAAACGCGTCCTCTTCCCCTTCAAAATCCCTAAAAAAAATATTCAAAATGAAAAAACCGACTCCAACACCTCCCGACCCCTAAATAATCAGAAAAACTCTTTTAAAAAACCACTAATCATAATCAAATTCTCGAAAATGCGTCCTCTTCCCCTTCAAAATCCCTAAAAAAAATATTCAAAATGAAAAAACCGACTCCAACACCTCCCGACCCCTAAATAATCAGAAAAACTCTTTTAAAAAACCACTAATCATAATCAAATTCTCGAAAATGCGTCCTCTTCCCCTTCAAAATCCCTAAAAAAAATATTCAAAATGAAAAAACCGACTCCAACACCTCCCGACCCCTGAATAATCAGGAAAACTCTTTTAAAAAACCACTAATCATAATCAAATTCTCCAGAACGCGTCCTCTTCCCCTTCAAAATCCCTAAAAAAAATATTCAAAATGAAAAAACCGACTCCAACACCTCCCGACCCCTGAATAATCAGGAAAACTCTTTTAAAAAACCACTAATCATAATCAAATTCTCCAGAACGCGTCCTCTTCCCCTTCAAAATCCCTAAAAAAAATATTCAAAATGAAAAAACTGCTTCCAGCACCTCCCAATCCGCAAATAAAAAAATTCATCAAACCCCAGTCCCCAAATTCGAAAGACCCTCCACTCCTCCCGCCAAAACGCGCTCCCTCCCGCCCCAAAAATCCACCGCACCCTCCTCAAAGCCACTTACAACATCTCCACGTTTCTCCACCCATCTCTGCAGCTTCTCCTGGGACCTGAGACAGCTATCCCTGTACAAGTGCCACTGATTGACACTCTTGACACAGCTCCCGCAGATCATCGTCCCGAGTTTGTCGTCCCGCAGCACCTGAAACGCACCGAACCAATGAATTCATCAAGTGCTCCTCACCCCACCGCCACCAGCCACACCAATCACCAAAGATGGATGACACGACTCATCGACGCCATAACCTTCCCCCATCGTGCCAAAAAAATCAACACTTCGAGATTTGGGGCCCTCCAGAGGCCCCCAGAGAGGCCAAAGCGGCCGGAAAAGCCACTCCAAAGGATTGAAGACCCCCAATAATGACAATTAACTCACCTCGATGCTGAGACAGTCTTGAATCTTCTCGGCCAATGGTACAGCTGCCCCTTGGACGCCGAATATTGGTGACTTGGGCTCGTCCGTTGACAGACAAAGTCTGCACACATTGTCCAGTGCCTCCAGCTCGACGACTTCGTCCATCCTCAGGACATAAATCCACTTGGTGTCGTTGATTGATGGGGTTGATTGGCCGGATGATGAGCCTGGCTTGTTGCAGTCAACGGTGATACGTCGTCTGGTGATGATGGAGGCTGGAGAAGGTTAGGGACGCAACGTTTTGTTTGCTCGCCGACATTTGAACGCGCGGAGCTACCACCGAGGCATCAGGTATCGCATCGAGCGGTCCAAGGGGTTCAGTTGGCTTGAGGATGGCAATCTCTGGGGGATTCTGGGGAGTCCAGGCGGCGCCAGCCGCACCTCGAGCCTCACTCCGGCAGACACAGATGGCGGCATCTGCGGCTTTTGTCGGATTTCGTGAGTTTTTTTTTTTCTAGAAAACTCCCACTCCCTCGGCGTTCACTGATAATTTCTCAGAAAGCAGCATGTCGACAATTAAATTTTAGATGGCACTGGCAAAAATTGTTTCTGGGTCTCTGGTGTCCATTGGACAGGAAATAGGAACAAGATGAATAAATTGTCAGACCCTCGATTCGGTTCTCATCAACTTTTAATTCAGTTTTTGGTTTTACATAAAATTTTCTAACGCATTAAATCAGTCCAGAATCCTCCCCTCGCCTCATAATGAACAATAACAATAATTATATTTTTTACAATAATAAAAATATTGTGCACTTGTATTTCAAATTGTGCAGTAACAGAATTAGAATTTGGTCCTTCGAATGCGAATAAACATGTTCTATTAATTGGTAATTAATGAAAACAGGGATATGTGGAATGACTGCAAGTTTAACTGAATGATTGTTTTTTTCGTTACATCGTAAATTCAATGCGTCCACAGAAATTTACATTGATCTACAGTGATTGCATTTGACAATCAACAATTGATTTTGTTGATCGATAGATTTGGTCTTTCGATCTTTGACGAAGCGAAGCTACTTTACATCCAGTTAATTAGGTACACGATAACATTTTTTAGTATTTTCCACAGTTAGGAACCGGTCCTTTTTATCTATTCATTCCTGATGTGTTATTAATTTTGGAAAGTCAGTAGTGAAGTGGAGTTGAGTATTCAGCATTGAAAGAGCTAAACTGAATCGTCAGCGGAATTTAAGAATGAAAACGATTGACAATTAATGTTGATTCAATCGATTATTTTCTGTTGCGTTGCATTCAACTCATCTTTGATATTTGCTGCATTAAAAATGCCCAAGAATCTCAAAAACTGAGACAAACTTGGTATTCTTGGAGACAATAGCATGAGTGATAAAGTCTCCATGTTCGACTTAATTGAACAGTTGCAAGTCACGACTTAAATACGCTATTATCTCAGTGATTATTGGTTTAACGATAAAATATCAAACGATATTTACCGTAGATCAGGAAATTTTCTACAAAAAAAGTCTCGACATTTTCTCCTAAACCACTAGTTCTTGAGATAATATCATAATTAACAAATCGACAAATTCCACTTGACTGGGATTCATAAAGTTCAGGTGAATGTAACACAACTGAAATTCATCGATTCAATAAATATCAGCAGTCATTCGTTGAGATGTCTAAATACAACCAATTATTCAGTCTATTAACGTTTATTAAAGTCACTCGTTACGTTCGTTGAAACATTCTCTATTGAGTTACCGCACGTCTCTCCCATTTATTAATTTGTAGTTTTATTTTAACAGTTGTATTTTCACATGACAATGTCAATCAACTTTTGAACAAACAGTCATAATTATTCATCAGTGTATTTATCCAAACAAAATCATCCGGCGAGTTGATGGAGAATGTCCCAACGAACATTTTGAGCCCAGGAGCCCAACAATTAATGTTAAAATTTCTCCTAGAAAATAATTCCATAATCACTGAAACAAAAAAAACATTCCAAATTTTTCTTTTTGCCACTTCACTAATGAATTTCATCAATGAATATTTATTCTCTAGGTTTCCCGCACCTCTCAATATCAACATTTTCCACCTATTCTTCATTATCATCATCAAATTATTCATCTCTCGTCGCTCATTTGTGTTCAACTAAATTAGTTGAATCAATAATTAAACAATGAATGCCGAAAAATTCAGGTTGTTTGACAGTTCGTCATGAAACAGGTACTCTTCTTCGTCTGTTCTCGAACGTAGTCTTGAACGTTGAACTTTGTATCGTCCGGATCAACATTTTTTCGGGCCTTCAGTTGTCTGAAACACAAGACACAACTAAACCCCAACCGCCCAAATCGGAATTTCTTTATTTTTTCGCTCTTTTTTGGAATTGGAAATTGCGGAAAATTACTTTGCAATGGCTAGGAACGCCAATTCGACGTTGGCCCCAGTCCGGGCTGAGGTCTCCATGAAGGGCACGTCGTACTCGTCAGCCAGACGTTTGCCATCCTCTTTTTTCACCATTCTCTCAGGTCCGCAATCTGCTTTATTCCCTGATAACCAAAATTTTCATTAAAAATGAAAAATCTGTCGTCAGTTTTTGCGGAATAACTCAGAATTCATGAGAGATGTCGAAATGTTTGTCAGAACCTTTTTTATAGTCCTTGAAATTCTCTATGAAAATGATTATATGGCATTTCGTCGTAAATCCACTCATTGACGAGATACTTTAAAAAATGATAAAAATATGAAGTGTAATTTTTTCTGTACCTCCAATTTTTCATCTTTGTTTACTGTTTAAATATCTCGGTAACGAGTGGTTCTAGAGAAAAATGTCACTAATTTTTTTTTACAGAAAATTAAATTCTCTACAAAAAAGTTGATGTGACATTTCGTCGTAAATGCACGCATTAGCGAGATAATGACGGATGTAATAAACATGCTCGTGTTTGGTTTTCGTGCGAATGCATAAATAACATTATTTACTCGGGGTAATTTCAATAACACAATAACATGCTGAAAGTATCAATAATAATATACGAAACCTAGTAGCATAATGACAACGTCATTCTGAGCGTATTCCCGGATCTCTCCAAGCCATGCCCTGATGTTATCATAACTAGTCTTGTTCGTCACGTCGTAGAGCAATAGCAGCGCTGAAAAACCAGTCGGTTGGCTCATCCATTATGTAATCACTGGGAGGGCTTCTCGTGTTGTGTGGGATAGTGTATGCCGGTGGATTTAAACTCGCGCGTGTATAATATGGATGGAATAACGAGATTTTTTCATTTTCGGATAACACGACTGAAAATAGTGAATTGAATGAACCGTGTCTAATTTTTTCAAATCAAATGTCACACGATTTCAATTGCGTTGGGACATTCTCCATCAACTCGCCGGACGATTGTTTGGATAAATACACTAATGAATAATTACGACTGTTTGTTCAAAAGTTGATTGGCATTGCCATGTGAAAATACAACTGTTAAAATAAAAATACAAATTAATAAATGGGAGAGACGTGCGGTAACTCAACAGAGAATGTTCCAACGAACATGATGAGCCCAGTGACATTGAAATCGGATGAAACCCGTGACTTTAATAAACGTTAATAGACTGAATAATTAGTTGTATTTAGACATCTCAACGAATGACTGCTGATATTTATTGAATCGATGAATTTCAGTTGTGTTACATTCACCTGAACTTTATGAATTCCAGTCAAGTGGAATTTGTCGATTTGTTAATTATGATATTATCTCGAGAACTAGTGGTTTAGGAGAAAATGTCGAGAGACTTTTTTGTAGAAAATTTCCTGATCTACGGAAAATATCGTTTGATATTTCATCGTTAAACCAATAATCAGTGAGATAATATCGTATTTAAGTAGTAGCTTGCAACTGTTCAATTAAGTTAAACATGGAGACTCGATCATTCATGTTATTATCTCCGAGAATGCCAAATTTGTCACAGTTTTTGAGATTTCTGGGCATTTTTAATGCAACAAATATCAAATTCTAGTCAATTCCGTCGATTTGTTAATTATTATCTAATCGCAACAACGAGTGATTCCGTCAAAATATCTCGCTCTGAAAAAATGTCCCTCGATATTCCATCGCTACACCAATAATTACCGCGATAATTACATTAAAACCCCTCCGAAACCCCCAAAATTTCGCACAAAACCCATTTTCAACGCTCCTGTCCCCCCCAGACATCTCTCGCCATAAATCCCTCAAAACTCCAGATCCTCTCCAACTGTAATCCCCACCCACAGAATGTCCCCATAGGGTGCAATCACAGTCTCACAAAAGCCTCTGCAACCCCAGAAATAATGAAATCCCGTGGTTATCATAATTCTCAAACATTTTACCGTGAGCGTCTCTGTAGTACGCGTGTGTTACACTCCGAAATCTCTCTTGCCCCGCGGTGTCCCATATCTGGAGCTTGATCCTCGTGTCTCCGACTGTCACAACTTTGTTCTAAAAATTAATATTATCCTTTGTTCACCTCCATCTACGTCACATCTCCCTTATCTCATTAAAAGAAAAAAAAACTCTGAGGAGATGGAAGGGGGGGGGTCGATAATGACCCCATTCTGTAGATCGGAAAATTGACCCACAAATTAAAAAAAAAAGACGACCCATTTTACCCCACTACTTCAAGAGTTACAGCCAAAAATCGTTTTTCGCCAAAAACGTTTTTTCGATTTTTCTCAAGAACCCCTGGGGCTGAACGGGTCATCTTTTTTTTAATCTGTGGGTAAATTTCCCGACCTGGCGAATGCAACAGGTTTCGTTCAAATCGGCCATAAACCTCTCATGAAATGAGGATTTATGGGAGAACAAAGGAAATGAGCGATGAATTTTTCATGTTTCTCACCCTGAAATCAATGCCAACTGTGCTTATATGATTTCCCGAGAGGAATCTACCATGACGAAATCTTGTGAGGAGGCAGGTTTTCCCAACGCCGCTGTCCCCCAATAGCATAACCTATCAGTTTTGAATAAAAGAATCTTATAAAAGAGCCTTGACATGGAGGGAAATATCACTCTCTCGTTTCAGCATTTTACAGGGCACAGGTCATGAAAATATATATCTCGTCTCGACTCTGTGGCGATTACATTAATTATAAACCCCCCGGAGTTGGTCGGGATTTTAAACTATTAATTCACTTGCAGAAATAATTCAAATAATAAAGTTGGAGATTTTCTTCACAAGCAATCTGTGACCCCATTCGATAGATGGGAAGATTTATCCATAAATAAAAAAAGGGCCCATTTTGCCCCATTATTTTTCGCGTAATTGTGAAAAAACGAAATTCGTCAAATAATCGGGCAAAATGGGTCACATTTTTTTCATTCTCGGTCGAATTTGCCGATCTATTCGGTAAAACCGATTTTTGAGACGGGGAAAATGGGGACCCATTTTTCCCCAGTAATTTATACAATACATTTCAAAAACGAATTTCATCTTAATTCTAATTCGCAAATTTTCTCTTTTTTCAATAGCGCAAAACGGGTCAAATTTTTGAATTATAAATTTCATTGTAAATGTCCCAATGCCTTCTCATCGTCCCAATTTCCCCTCCACATCCTTCCAAGTATCACCTGTACAAGTCCCACAATCACAAATTAGAAAGTAAAGATGTATCAGGAGTGAATTAGACCTTGAAATGTAATTCCGTGGCCTCGGGTGGGGCCTGTGGTTCGCCAGTACTATCGTGGGACGACTGTCGTCGCACAATGGGCCCGAGGCCAGTGGTGGGGGTAGAGTGGGCCCGCGACGCCCCACCACTCGCCTCGGCGTTGGGCCAATCAGAACCGCCACCGGTGGGACCGCACTGACGCTGCATCCGCGTCCCACCGTGCCTGACAGCCTCCTCCACAGCTCTCATGCGCTCCTACTATCAGGAGCACCAATTTGCTCTTCTTCTTCTCGGCCACTCCTCGTCGTCCAAGTCGCAGTTATGTCGTTTCACGTACTATCCCCGTTTTTTTTCTCGTTTTCTCCCGCTGACGGCGGCTTGTGGTGTTGCCTTTTTCTTTATATTTTTTATTTTTTCGTTTTTATTAACCACCAGAACGCACTTCTACCTCAACTCCCGAGCGTCGGGGAGGTCAATCAACTCTGTTCCATAAGCCTGGTAAAAGGCAACCGGCGCGAGCCAAACGGAATACGACCTCAGATTCGTATGTAGGCGAGAGTCACTTTTGGAGTGTCATTATATCTTCTGGATTATCTGGGAATTTAACTTTGTGGTTTAATATCACGAGTTGAGGTGTCAAGTGATAATGAAAGTTGGAGAGATAAAAAATTGACATTTTTTTTTCGGGGCTTGAAGAAAAACGGAGTCGCTGGGGTGGGAAAATGGGGTCAATATGGACCCAACTGAAAAGATCCGGAAATTCGCGACCAAATTTAAAAAAAGACAAATCATTTTTTTTTTCATTTGATGGGAAATTCTTTTGGATATGGGGTGAGACCTGATATGAGGTTTCAACTCGATGTGAGAATTTCCGGTTCATGATATTGCCTTCAACTTTTCCGTTCACAAGAACCGACTGAAAAATAGCAAAATGGCAAAATGTATTTAACGAAAGTTTCATTTTCCCTTCCGTCATCCGGATATTGCAATAGAACTCATTATCAACATGTCAAGCTGTCAATGAAAAATACGAGCTGTTGCTATTATCAGATACGTCCGTCGCAGTCTATCAATCCATAAAAGTAGCTATACCCAATTTTATTCCTGGATTTCGCGGGAGTTTGTGGATTATGGGGACTCATGATTTACGGTGATTTCGATCGCTAAATAATAGTGAACATAATCACAAAATTATCGGGGCTCAAATAAACATGAGCACGTGATTTTTTGCCTGATGACATTTTTTGACGCTTACGTTAGTCTATTATTTACTCATTACTTCGTACGATCTTATCGCTAAAATAATTTGTTTTCAATTAGAAGAATTCTTGAGAGCATTACCTTTCCTGTAAGTTTTAAATTTAGATCGAGACGTGAAGACTCGATAGATGCATGGCATTCCCTTAAACCCTGCTAGGGCGCCACCTTATCGCCTTGCATTGTCCTCTGAATGTAAACATTATGCGTTGGAAGTTGTGCTATGAAGCAAATAAATTTGTCTTTCAATCTTGAAAGAAATGAGCCATTTCAAAGCAACATGATCGGTACGAATCAGAAATTTTCAACCCAAAAGGTGACAAAATAATTCAACTTTTGATGCCGGGAGTTGTTTCTCACTGACAATTATTCATTTGTGAACTGCTGAGACAATTGCTGTAATAAACGATGAATTTTATATCATCGCGAGTTGATGGTTCCCTGTGGGTGCGTCCATGTGCCCCAGGGGTCGATAAAATGAACAAATAAATGGGTAAATCATCTAGGGAGGGAAACAGATAAATAAGCAACTCTCAAATTCCTGACGACAAAAATGATTTGGTCGTTGTCAACATCCAACAAGACATATCTGACTGATCGACTTCTTGAAAGAAATGAACCATTTCAAAGCAACATGATCGGTACGAATCAGAAATATTCAACCCAAAAGGTGACAAAATAATTCAACTTTTGATGCCGGGAGTTGTTTCTCACTGACAATTATTCATTTCTGAACTGCTGAGACAATTGCTGTAATAAACGATGAATTTTATATCATCGCGAGTTGATGGTTCCCTGTGGGTGCGTCCACGTGCCCCAGGGGTCTATAAAACAAACAAACGAATGAATAAATCTCCCCGCGAGACAATAAAACAATCATTAATAAAATCGTCTCCCGGCCCGGCCTCACCCACCTCTCGCCAACCTCCCGCCAACATTTCCCTCCTAGGTTATGTTCCTTATCGAAACCCCTCAAGAAATTTCCCACGACTGCTGATCCCATCTTCCGGGCTAAAAAGGCGTGGATTAGGCCTTAGAACCCACCCACGCCCCATGCAACCCACCAACATGTGTACGAGGAAGAGGCGAATAATAAATGTAAACGAGATGGGTCTCCGGGGTTGAATGAATGTGACTCATTGTGTTTTCGAGAATGGCTAGAGGCTCGAGGCTTATGTTCTGAATCTACCCGACTAGTGGCGCCCTGACCCTAGCCCCTTGCGTCTCTCCCCGACTCTTCCAACTGCCGCTGCCTTTCCTCTCGCTCTCTCTCTCTCCCCCCCCCCCCCTGCCAACGCCATCTTTTCACGGCAATTGTGTGACACACACTGTTGAGCAGAGAGGCCTCTCTGTGCGCGACGTTGTAACGCCGAGGCTCTCTCACTCGCTTTGTGCTCGGCCACTGACACGACACTGTCACGTGACTCACGTGACCGAGAGAAACGCTGTTGCATCATTTGAGTTTTTTTTTCTTTTTTTTCTTGAGGTTTTTGAGAACGGAAGGGGGGGGGTCGGAAATGACCCCATAGAATAACTTGAAAAATTGAAAACTTTTCTTACTTTCATTTTGTGAAAGAAAAAAAAAAGAAAAGAGCAAGGGGAAACCAGTGGGACAAAACGGGTCGATTTTTTTTTTTATTGAATGGAATATTTGTCGGGTTGTGGCATGAGAATTTTTGGATATTGTTGTTGATTAATTTTTTGGGTTGATCTTGGAATGAAAAAATTGGTGGTTTCTTCACTCAGAGTAACTATGACATTGCTAATCACGGATCGACGTGGATTTACGTCAGTACGACTTCAATCCAGTATATTGTCAATCTCGGCAATATTATTTATCATCATAGTGAAGAAAAAGTGACGGTTGGGGATGAATTACACGCACGGGATTTGAACCAGCGATGTCAGGGTTGGGAGGAGTAGCGCTTTACCAACTGCGCCATGACAGAGTTTGCCTCGAGCTGGGAATTTGAACTTTATATTTGGGTGGATGTATTCACCGTATTTGTATTTAATAGGGTAACTCCTCTTTGTGACTTCATAATCAAAGGTTACTCGTTTTTTTTTTCAACTCGCACAGGACAACACTTCGTTTCCCCGGCCGCCGCGGAACAAACGACAGAAACGGAGTTTTATTAAATTTTGATTGCGAAAAGCTTCGTAATTCAACTACAGTGTTGCAACTACACCAGCCAACTAAGTGCTACCCCAGGATATCCCCCATGTTAAATTCGCTTTTTCCCCAATTACTGTACTCTCCGCTCCCTGTTTTATTAATCAACATTGACCTTAATGCTTTATCAATATTTTCGGGCTTCAATTCGAGGTTGAGAATTTTACCATGTGCGAGGTATTTTTAAATGAAGTCGATAGTGACCCCAAAAAAAATTATAAAACGATTTTTTGTCAATTACAAAAACATTTTTACAAAATGTCAATTTTTCATTAATAAGTGCTAAAAAAAATGTTATCGAAAGACAATGAGAATAATTTTTTAAAAAACTCCACTCTGTCAGCATGAAAATATAACGAGGTACGTGAAATAGTGGATAGGGCGTTCACAAGGCAACCGAGACG